CGTTGCTACATCTTGGCATCTATGTCAAATGTTTTGCAACAGCAGCATCACACCATGCCTACTGCTGCTGACATGATGTTGAGCCTCAAGGAACTCTTTGGTGAGCAAGATAGGGCTGCTCGGTTTGAGGCTATGAGGAAGATTATGTCTTCTGTCATGCCAGAGGGAGCTTCTGTGCGAGAGCATGCTCTCAAAACGATGGAATATCTGAATGAGATAGATGTGCTCGGAGAAAATATCGATGGCGAAGCCAAGATCGATATCATCATGCACTCGCTCCCGAAGTCCTATGAGAACTTCCGCCTGAATGCAATCATGAATAAAAAGGGCTACACTCTGGCCGAGCTTCTTACGGACTTGGTTGCAGCGGAGGGTCTTATGGGAAGGGGACCACAGGCTCATGTTTCTGTACAAGCTGGACCTTCTTCGTCGAAAGGCGGGAAGAAGAAAAAGCAAGTGCATAAAAAGAGTGGTGGAACCAGTGGGAGCAGTGGGAATGGTGGGAGCAAGCCTGTAGCGCCTTCTGGTGGCGTGGTGAACCCGAAAGGCAAGTGCTTCAAGTGCAACAAGACAGGACATTGGAAGATAGATTGTCCCCTCAAGGACGTTCCTGGTACGTCTCTTGCTTTAGTTGTCGAAACATGTTTTGTGGCTTGTTCTACCAGTTCTTGTGTAATGCCCCGTTTATTTGTGAAATATTTGTGATTATTTGTTTATTTATTTATTTCAATAATAATATTATTGTTATTATTATTTGTCTAATTGTCTAAATTGTTTATTATTATTATTATTATTATTATTATTATTATTATTATTATTATTATTATTATTATAATTGATAATATGTCTAATTGTTTAAATGCCTATTATTATTAAATAAATATTATTGTTATTTATATTAAATGTATAAATTGCCTCAATGTGATTATGTGACTAATGGTTAATAATTAATATATATATATATATATATATATATGTGTGTGTGTGTTATATATATTATTTGATTTAATCTATTGTCGCGATCGTATCCGAGCCATTTTGCCGAGCGAGTCTTAAGTGTAATTATCGGCCCATGCGTATGTTTTTTTCGGCCCGATTAAATTAAATTATCCGACCCTTTTACTTTTCTGCCTTAGAGTTATGGTTGGCCCAACTTCCTTACTATCACTTGGCCCTAATAGCATTATTTTAGTGTCCATTATTTAAGACTTGGCCCAAGAAAGGGAGTAATTACGTCACGTGCAAGTTTGGATCAGATATTTTCTTCTCACCTGCGAGACCGAGTCTTCCTCTTCGACCGATCAGATTTGTTGCGAATTACCGGCGTAATTCTCCACACGATCGCACATTATTCTCTTGCTCACCTTATTATATCCGATTGAGGGAGAGAGACTTCTTCATCATCTCACTCTCATCTTGATTTTAAAAAAAAGATAGCAGCGATCGCTGCAGAGCAAGGAGGAAGAGAAGAAATTCTTCTACTGAACTTTGTTTATCCCTTCCGTTTGATCATCATTACCATCATCAAGCTTCCATCAGCACCGTCGGCGCCATCACCATCCTCCATCGCAAATTTTTAAAAAAAAAAAATCGAAAAAAAAATAGAGCATAGAAGAAGAAGAGGGAAACCTGCAGTTCGATCATCATCCTCGAACCATCATCATCGTCGCACGCTTCTGCTTCATCGTGCCGGTCGTCAGCCATCACCGTCGAGCAGCGAGCTGTCCATCAGACCCGACAACGAACTTGCTGCGGTTCACCGTCGCGCAAGAAGGAGACTCCCAGCCAGCCCGCTGTCCGTCGCCGGACCACCGTTCTTAGCCGTCAGATCCCGTCGAGTACCGTCGGAGTGTCGAGCATAGCCGTTGAGACCCGTCATGTTCCGTCGGAGTGCCGAACGTAGCCGCCGGCGTCCAGCGAACTCCTTCCTCCACGCAAGCCGGCGAGTCCCGTTGTTCGTACGTTGCTGTCCCGAGCCGCTGATCGTGAGCCCCGGTTTTGCCGGAGCACCTCTGCTGAGTGTCCGTCAATGTCAGCACCTGGTCGCTTCTCATTTCTCTGTTCAGCACCCAGTCGCATTCCGTCAACCGTTTGTTTAGTGACCGTCGCGTTTCTCGGGCTGTCGTCTCGTCTGTTTTCGGTACTTAATGGCTTTATCCCACTCGTATTAATTGCTTACATGTTTGCATGCGTAATAATGTGTGTTACATTCTGAACGTGTGATTTATTGATTGTTTATGTACCTTAGATGTATTATCGAGCCTTCTATTGTGTTTATATATGAGTTGGATGTCAAAGTGATTGCCGTCACTTTGGTTTATTGTCGAAGTGAGTTTTGAGTGGCATTTTTCGTGGAAATCCTGGAGTTATAGGTACTTGGAGTTGTCCTGGAGTTATTGGTTTTTGTTTAGGGTCGTTTCGATGTGTATATGTCGAGTTATGAATTTTCTAAACTGAGTATGCTGGTGAATCGTAATTAATTCATGATAAATCGTGTGATTGTCCGAATGCCGTGCAATTTTAGATGTGATCTGCTGTAATTGTTTTGTAAGTCATATAAAATTTTCAAGTCGTAACACCATCTGTCGCTATTTTAATTAATTAAATCGGTTTCTAGTCAGAATATTGTAAAATTCATTAAAAATTGTACACATGGAATTTTATGCTGAAATTAAGCGGAATATGTTATTTTGTGTTATTCTACATTGTCTCAAAATTTTGGATTAAAATTCGAAGTGTAGCTATATAAACAATTAAACGTCGGATTTTCGCACTATTTTGCTTTAATTATTTAAAAATGCTCCCGGATGAATTTAGGACTGAAACTTGGTGAGATTATGTGTTTTTGTATGCCTTATGATGTGGTAAAGTTTCAGGTTGATTGGTTGAGTCTAACTCTAGATTCTGAATTTTGTTTATTTTAGAGTCATAATGTTCGATTATACGTTGTCTTGGTTTGGGTTGTATTTTATTGATGTTGGTATGATTTATGTGTATTACCTGAGGTTTAAGAGTTGTGTTCAAGTCTAGTAGTCACTCCATTTTACTTAAATCGGTCAAGGAATCCACGAGTCACTTAGTCGATATGCTTTCGGCTAAGTATATGTGCTTTATGTGTTGTCTTGTATTAGATAGTCAGTTGATAGGCTATTATATTTGTTGTAGGTTCATCAAGCTGAACTTTTGCCATAATTCCTCCAACTTAGTGGTTGGCTATATCTCGGTATCCAGGTGGGTTATTCAAAATTTGTCTATGCCTTGAATGATAATTGCTTTTATTTATGTGGGTATGATCAATGTATGCATGTGAGCATGTAATCTTTGATGTGAGCTGTACCGGCCGTCTAACGGTTATCCCCGTAGCTATAGAACGTTGTTGATATCCGGATCAGTCCCACTCAAAGTCGACGGACCGGCCCGGATGACCAAGCAGAGCCGAACCCGTAGCCCGGGGCCGATTCACATGACGGAGAGAAGTGCCGAACTGG